CTCTCTCTCTCTCTCTCTCTCTCTCTCTCTCTCTCTCTCTCTCTCTCTCTCTCTCTCTCTCTCTCTCTCTCTCTGCTGCGCACTCCCGATTGTCCACGGGTCGGATATCAAACTGATCGGAACAAATACTGCACTTGATCGTCATCGTCGTCATCGTTTTGAGGGGCGGGATAGTCCTCCGCGCTCCACCGCTCCTCCTCTGCGCTCCACTGACGGAAAAACAGCGCGCAGAACACAGAGAGAGAGAGAGAGAGAGAGAGAGAGAGAGAGAGAGAGAGAGAGAGAACCCCCAAACTAACTAACTATCCCGCCCCTCAAAACGACGATGACAATCAAGTGTAGTATCTGTTCCGATCAGTTTGWWCAAACTGATCGGAACAGATACTACACTTGATTGTCATCGTCGTTTTGAGGGGCGGGATAGTTAGTTAGTTTGGGGGTTCTCTCTCTCTCTCTCTCTCTGTGTGTTCTGCGCGCTGTTTTTCCGTCAGTGGAGCGCAGAGGAGGAGCGGTGGAGCGCGGAGGAGTGGTGGAGCGTGGAGGAGGAGCGGTGGAGCGCGGAGGAGGGGCGGCGGAAGTCAGGGGGAGAGGGCGTAGGAAGCAGGGAGAAATGTACTGACCTGTGTCTGCCATCTTTGACAGGCGTTGAGGCGTCGTTGATGCAGAACTCCGAACGGCCAACCACAGGCCAGCGATCCAACCACGGCCAACCACGGCCAACCACAGGCGAGCGAGCGAGAGAGAGCCATAGCTGCACCATCTCGCTCGCTCAGCTTACAGCACCAACGGCCGACCACAGGCGAGGGAGCGAGAGAGAGCCACAGCTTAGAGCACCAGCGGCCAACCACAGTCGTGCGCGCGCGCGCGCGCTCGAGAGAGAGAGAGAGAGAGAGAGAGAGAGAGAGAGAGAGAGAGCGTTCCACAACAGGGCCCTTCACAAACGGGCGCTTCAAAACAACAGCACGGCGCGCTTCACAACAACAGCAGAATATAACGGATGTACGACAGCGTTCAGTCCAACGGGAATGTTGGGTTGGCCTGCCGTCGTGAAGCGCCCTCGACTCCAGTAGCCCGATAGCACCGCACGGCACTTGACCGGTAGAACCCCACGGCACTCCGCGGCGCGTCTATCTGAGCCGTCGATCCGGACGGACGGCCTGGATCTCGGCGCAGTACTAAGATCTTAAGACCGCATCTATCCAGGCCGTCGGTCTGGTAGGACCCCACGGCCCAGATCGCAGATTTATTACATGGTTAGGTCGATCTGGGCCGTGGACCGGTAGGACCGACGACGGCCCGGATTTCAGATTTGTTACCTTAGCGATTTTAATAGTGTAGGGA